AACCTCTGGAAGGTGATTAATTAGCCATCCTTGCTCTGTTTGAGAGACTGCCTGGTTCAAGTTTGATTTAAACTTTAAGAACGAAGAGTACAAGGGCTTGTCCATACTTCCACTTCCCCTGTGCCTGGACAGCATGGGTCCAAGCAGTTCCCCACTTTCCCTGTGCTTTCTAGCCATCGGTCTCAGCTGTTTTGCCTTGGCCTTGCCACTCTCCTCCGGAAAACCGGCTCTTTTGCGCTAAATCAGAGCAAATGGCAATTGACATTTGTTCTGATTCAGCACTAAAGGTCCTCCACGCCTCCGGGGGCAAGTCGATGTATGGAAAAGCCCTGAGTCTCACCCACCAGCTGTTAATACATGGGCAGAAGACTGAGCAGGCACAGAGTTCCCCTAGGCGCAGTGTTCTCCACTATAGTAAGATGGACTGTATGTTTATTCAGATTATATTACTCATTTCTAAATTTGCAACCATACATACCGTATTTTTCGCTCTATAAGACGCACCAGACCACAAGACGCACCTAGTTTTTGGAGGAGGAAAACAAGGGGGGGGGAATTCTGAATCTCAGAAGCCAGAACAGCAAGAGGGATCACTGCGCAGTGAAAGCAGCAATTCCTCTTGCTGTTCTGGCTTCTGGGATAGCTGCACAGCCTGCATTCACTCCCTAAGACGCACACACATTTCCCCTTACTTTTTAGGAGGGAAAAAGTGAGTCTTATAGAGCAAAAAATACAGTAAGTTATTTCATGCAAATTTTATACAAGACTGTGCCCTTGTTTATTTTTTGGTGGCACGTTTCTTTTGTTGCATGGTGAGACATAAATCGCCATCCTATTTCACAGATTTCTTCCGGGGCTTCTTCTTTCAGCCTTTCTACTAGTAGACTAGGGGTTGTCAACCTGGTCCCTACCACCCACTAGTGGGCATTTCAGGATTCTAGGTGGGCGCTAGGGGGTTCTAAGGCACAAGCTGAATCCTCCTTCCATCGAGCACTGGTGGGCGGTAAGGAAATTTTACCCTCAAGAAAGATGCATTAGTGGGCAGTAGGTATAAAAAGGTTGACTACCCCTGTAGTAGACAGAGGTTAGTCCCAGTTTCATTCCCCACTGCTCCTTTTAACCAGAGAGCATTTCACCTGTATAGCTCCTCTTCAGTCTTAGGAATCTTTGCATCAAAGTCCCCATCGCTCAGGCTCAGAAAAGCATACAGCCAAAACACTGTAAATGGCAAAGCAAGCTACTTGTTTAGCCCCCAATCCATGGGAACCTCTGTGACATTTGAATAAAATGTCAGATCTATCCATCAGCCAGCATTAGATCTGTCACATTTGGTGCTTGCTCCCTCATCTATTCTTGTTTGGAAAGATTCAAATGAGCATGTAGGGCCCAGAGAAGGGGGGGGGGGAATGTACTTTTCACTGACTTGGGATTTGAAGGGTTTGAAAACAGAAGAATAGTTAGTAATAGGGAGCAGGGACAGGTCCAGGTGGGGTGGAATCAGCAGGTAGGCTGAAAGGCTAAATTTGTTTCTGTGTGCTAGTAGCAGAGTTTGCGTTGATCTTGTGATGGCTTTTTTAACTAACACACCAACACACTGATTAATTTCAAGCATCTGGATTTCTCTGCTATGGAGAAAAAGCCAATCAATTTTTTGGCACACAACCCATAAAGGTTTCGGTCTTCTCCACTGACTGTTTGATAATCTGTTTTGGCAGTGGGAATGGTTTCACCTCCTAAATTATAAATCCCACTAAGAGGCAGCACAATTTCACTTTGAAGAGCACATGCTCAGAAATGGAATGTGTTGGTTTGACCTGGTCCTGCACCATCATCGTTTAAACACAGAATAAAAGAGACTTTCCATTGTTTACTGTCACATTTAATGTGCCCATTGCACAGAAAAAGAAGCCAAACCGATACAAGCATGACATACCAAACGGGTACCGGTAAGTAAGGTAAAGGTAAAGGTACCCCTGCCCGTACGGGCCAGTCTTGCCAGACTCTAGGGTTGTGCGCTCATCTCACTCTATAGGCCGGGAGCCATTGCTGTCCGCAGACACTTCCGGGTCACGTGGCCAGCGTGACAAGCTGCATCTGGCGAGCCAGCGCAGCACACGGAACACCGTTTACCTTCCCGCCAGTAAGCGGTCCCTATTTATCTACTTGCACCCGGGGGTGCTTTCGAACTGCTAGGTTGGCAGGCGCTGGAACCGAGCAACGGGAGCGCACCCCGCCGCGGGGATTCGAACCGCCGACCTTTCGATCGGCAAGCCCTAGGCACTGAGGCTTTTACCCACAGCGCCACCCGCGTCCCGGTAAGTAGAAAGTGCATAAATTTCACTTTTATTTTTCACTAGTGTATGTGTGGGTGCAGATCAGTGCAACAGAGTACTGGTGGTACCTGAATGAGTTCCATAAATCCTAAAAGCATGGCATTTGTGTGTGTGATCCCCATAACACCCAACCATATTCCATAATCAGACAGAGTTTAGCTAGTTTTGAACCTCTAGCCCTCGTGCTTATGAAGAACAATAAGAATTTGGCATGATCTGCCAAAGGCGTACAAGTTAAAGGTGGCACTAGACAGTACTTCTAGTAAGCAGTAGACCAGGCTTCTGCTTAGCTCAGTGTCTCTCCTCTATTTCTCTTGCTTCTCCTCCAAACTATTGCTTCTCCTTCCCAAGCAGCAAGCTGGCAGACCGACCCAATGGCAGAGCTACTCGTAAGTACCTGCAGTTGGTCAACTGAGAATCCCACTCTCCCTGTCTCAGGATGGTAGGTTGGGGTGCTTATTCTCAAGTAATTCCTGTATCGCCCTTTGCACACAAAAATGCAAACAGTAGGCTGCAGAGGGATAGTCTGCTCCACCTTGCCTTGGTAAGAAATGCAGACAGAGCAACTTGCACAGGTGCAACCTTAGCACGTGCCTGTTAATGATGCTGTTGTAGGAAGTAACCTTGGCCCCAGTTGACCCGAGAAGATCCTGAGTCAAGTCAAGTCCATTTTTATTGTATGTAGCCAAAGGCCTTTACAATGGGTGACAGAAAATAAAAGGAAAACTTTCCTCTAAAATCATACAACATAGCCTGTAGCAGTGTGTAACATAAAAAGAAATTTACAACATTAAATTTTAATATTGGAGTGCATTCACATAGCTGGAATGGAGCTTCTTGGCTGTCAGTGGAAATTTGGCTACCTGGTATGTAATATATAGATGTTTATCTGCTAGCAGTTCAACTATCACTTCCTGTGCGGATCAACCTGGAAGCCAATTAAAAATTGGTGATATAAAATTTCCTCTGGGCGTTGTACACAGGGGGTTGTGTGATGTCCTCTACCTGATTGCATCTATATATACATTTGCGATCAATATGGGGGATTCCCTGATATCTCCCCTCTCAATATGCTGAGGGCATCTGTTGGAATCTTAGTTCTACAAAAGCCCTGCGTAGTTGTGGGAAGGTCAGAGTCTCAAGGTAATGGGGCCTTGAATGATTGGTCTTAATTTGGGTGTAACAAGTAGAGTAATGGGCGGCAATGATGGATGCTCTTTCTTGGTTGGCATCCTGATCAAAAATCCAATTTCTAAGGTCATGTGGGCTAAGTAGTTCTCCATTTGAAGATTATAAACCCTAAGTTTATCTTGGCACTTTTGAGCCAGCCCCCTGTCCTTAGTTGCTCTAACCAGCAGAGCTTAGTAAGGGTATGATCCTCGAAGGCGTTTAGCCTGTGCCAGTATCTCAGATAGGCTAGATCAATTCTCTCTACTAGCAAGGGGAGTCACGGTCCAAGGGCTCACTAGGCTCATTCCTAATCTCAGCTCTTCAGATCCCCTTTAGTAGCTCTGCAATTTAGTTGGTCTGCGATTACTTACCAGAAATCAGAAGGTTGCCACCAGAACACCCTAAGTAGCCTTACAAACACAGTGACACACACACACAAATCCTATAATAATGATAATAATATAGCAATAATAATTTATTATTTCTACACTGTCCATCTGGCTGGGTTTCCCCAGTCACTCTGTATGTTCTTTCCTCATTGTAGCTTCCTCCATTGATGTCAGCAATGAACAGTGATTGGTCCAATTCACACTCCAAATCCCTTGGGTGGGCATTCCAGCCATTCCCCTTTAAGAAGGAGTTATATTTCTAAAATTTACTGCATGAAATGCATTGAAAGAAAATGTGATGAAAATGATGTACAGATGGTATATTGCACCAGTGAAATTAGGTAAAATGTATAAAATAAGTAACAAATGTTGGAAATGTAAGGAAAAAGAAGGTACATTCTATCATCTGTGGTGGGAATGTAAAAAGGTGAAAGGTTTCTGGGAAATGATTTATAATGAGATGAAAAAGATGTTGAAATATACATTTATAAAAAAAACCAGAAGCATATTTACTTGGGATTGTAGGCATGGATATTAACTATTTTATATGCGACAACGGCAGCAAGAATATTATTGGTACAGAAATGGAAGCAGGAAGAATTGCCGACAAAAGAGGAATGGCAGATGAAATCAATGGACTACGCAGAATTGGATAAGATGACAGGAAGAATTTGAAACCAGCAGGACCAGAAATTCTTGAAGGACTGGAGTAAATATGCGAGTTATTTGAAAAACAATTGTAATCAGCTGACTATGCTTGTAGGATTACAAGAGGTTTTGTAGGGAGAACTATATGAAATATTAGAGAAAAAAATTAGGAGAATGGATTCTAAAGTATGGATTATTAAAAACAATAGTTAAGAGGAGATGCAAGACTAAGAGATGAAGGTGGAAAATCACTAGACGTGGTTGATGGAAGTCCTAGGCTTATAGCCAAAATGTGGTATAAGATGAGAGATGTTATGTTTTATTTGGAAAATATATGTAAAACCAATAAAAATAAATATATTTTTCTTAAAAAAAGAAGGAGTTATATTTCAACAGGCCACAGAAAGAGTTGGATGCGGCTAGAAGTTGATGTGGGTCAGTTAATGGGAACTGAACATACCTGGCAAAAGAGCAGCTACGTTGTTATTGTCCTCCGTTCCGCAGCTGAGAAACACGTCCACAGTGTCTTGGTCAGAAAGGTCCATCATGTCCATCTGTTCCAGCATGTCCACATTCACCTCCATGGAGGAAATGCTGCCTAAGGGAGCTAGCAAAGAGATAGAAGCCATCAGATGTCATGCTGCATGGCCATCACCTGTTAATTTTTTACATGCAAGTGGGGCAACTGTGTTCCATAGTCTAACGCACCTCCTATGACACCTCCCCAATGGTACTTACGTCTCCTGTGCTCTATCTGCAGGTGCGATACTGGGAAGAAGAAATCTACGTCATGTTGGAAAACCTCCTCAAAGAATCTCTGCCTCTCCCGTAGCTTGAGCTGCTGTTGCTGCATCTGCTCTGCATCCAGCCCTCGCTGCCCAGTGTCCATGTCGGCTGCAAAGGAACCAGAGAGAGGGAAAGAAATCAGAAGCAGCTTCCTCCCATTTCTTATCTGAAGGGAAACACTTCCCAGAGCCAAATGCAGGTTAAGTGGGCAGGCAGAATTTGAATGAGAGTTTAAACTGCTTTGAGAGAAGGTTCAGTCTGCACACGTTTCTTTGCCATAATGTCACTGCTCTTCAAGAAGTATTTTTTTATTATTACCGATGATGATTTGAACTTACGAGTGACTTATTAATCACTTGCTACACACACACAAAATGTCTCCGGGGGTCTTACTCATTTTTTTTTAAGTGAGACCTGCTGGTTAGGAGGTATACAAAATAAACAAACAAGCAAGCATAAAATGAAGACATTATAATAAAAAGATGTAGCAGTTCATAAAAAGATCCACTGACAGTCCCCAATAAACCTCAGCAAACATTTCCTCAGCAACAACTCATCAAGCACAACCAACAACCAATATCATGGGTTTTAATCTGACACCAAGAAGTTGTTAGTGAGAGCCCCAGACAGACCTCATTGGGGAAAGCATGCCACAAATGGGGGGGGCCACAACTGAAAAGGCCATTTCCCTTGCCATCACCCCAGATTTCTTCAGAAGAGGGACTCAGGGCAGGGCCTCAGAGGAAGATCTAAGGGTCTGGGTAGGTTTCTTAAACAAAACCTGCAAAACCTGTTTACCAAAGGTGAAAACAGAATGACCATACAGTTCACAGGCAGCATTCTGTTTGTCAAACAACCTCTAACTCCGGGGGTAGGAGGGACCTCCTGCTTCTGTCTAACCAAACCAGCTACACTACTTGCTGCAGAGCTATAGCAGGGTAGTTGGGAGAAAGGTGATTGAAAACAGAGAGGCATTAGGCTCTTATCTATCCTTGTCAGCCGCCTTTCTTTCCAAGCTGACAAATAATTTGTATCCCTTTCTTGGGTGTGTTTGTTCACATTTCTCCCACCTATGAAGAGTTGTCAGAGGGCATGCATAACCTCTCTAGACAACAGCCTTTCGTACTTCTAATAATAAATAATTTTTTTGTACCCCGCTCATCTGGGTGGCTTCCAACAAAGATTAAAAATACATTAAAATGTCACACATTAAAAACTTCCCTAAACAGGGCTGCCTTCAGGTGTCTTCTAAATGTCAGGTAGTTGTTTATCTCTTTGACATCTGATGGGAGGGCGTTCCACAGGGTGGGCACCACTACCAAGAAGGCCCTCTGCCTGGTTCCCTGTCACTTTGCTTCTCACAGTGAGGGAACCACCAGAAGGCCCTCGGCGCTGGATCTCAGTGTCTGGGCAGAATGATGGGGGTGGAGGCGCTCCTTCAGGTATACTGGGCCAAGGCCATTTAGGGCTTTAAAGGGCAGCACTGACACTTTGAATTGTGCTTGGAAACGTACTGGGAGCCAATGTAGGTCTTTCAGGACCAGTGTTATATGATGGGAGTTTCTGAGCACAACATCAGAAGGACCTCTGGTTGGCTACCCCTGTTCTAGAATGATAATCTCTGCTCTGAACAAGCGTGACAGTAAGCAGCATGGAGAGCAGTCATTAGGCTTAAGTATATTCTAAACCATTGGTTCTGAATTCTTTCTTTCTTATATGGATCATTGGAAAATTGCTGGGGATCTTGAGAGGCCACATAATAAGGCAGTTGTTCTACCAGTCAAACCACATAAAGAGCTCATATTTTAAACCACACTTTCCCCCCACTTAAGCACAGGCATCATTGTCCAAAACCAATATAGTACTGTGAAAAATATGAGCCCTAGACGCAGTCACTGAGAAGGGTTTCTTTAACTAGCAAATTGTTTTGGCGAAAAATTAGGAGATTGTACCAAGTCTCTGTTATGAAAATCACATGCCTTTTTAAGTGAGCCAGCCTTGGCAAAAGAAGAGTCCTTGATCTCCACAATTGGAAAAGAATCAATAAAGTGCAGGGCCAAGTACAAATATTCTAAAGTGTTCCTTTCTGTGGACCACTTGGATGGAGCTATGGACCACCAAAGGACCACAGTCCACATTTTGAGAATCTATGCTCGAAACCAGTCTTCCCCACCCAGGTGCCCAGATACTTTTTACCACAACTCCCATCAGCCCCAGCCAGAATGGTCAGTGGTCAGGGATAATGGGAGCTGTAGTCCAAAATGATATGGAGGGACTGGGGGAAGGTTGATTCAGACTCAGCCATCCTGCGAATCAGTAGACTGAAGGAAGCTTGGGCACACAGAGGTTCATCCTCCTCTGCTATCTATGCCATCTTCACAGTTCCAATATCTAGTAGCCCTGTTCCATATGTAACCAATTTTTGAAATTATCAAGGGGAGAGGTTTAAATCTTTCCCTCACAGTACTAGATGGGAGCAACACCTCCAGTTTCCACTGCCTTGACCCATGATGAAAGCAGAAAACAGTGGTAGACATTTTAATATTTGCAAATTTAGCATCTGCATTCGTTCAGACAGTATTTTTAGATATGTTCTAAAAAGCAAACCAGGTTCTGCCTGGTTTATGAAATTGCTAGATCAAAGCAAAGAGCCAGCTCCCTTGTAATATAAGTGGACTTACACAAGGGCAGAGCTGGGTTCCAAAGTGTTTCACTTTGATCTAGTACTGGGCAACTAAATTGCCAATAATATGAGTTAGGGACCTGGCCAGAATATTTCCAAAAATTAGCATTAGGATTAGGGAAGAATGAGTCTGTCAATTCTGGTTTCTCATTTTTCCAGTCTTAAATTCAACTCACCTCATTTCTGCATCATTTCACAACAATAAAAACTCTGTCAAATACAGGGCTTTTTTGGTACGTGTTTTCTTGCCTGGAGAACTGCACTGCAAAATTTGGAGAATTTTGAAGGATAGCTTTATTTCAGTTCACAATTGGTTCAAGAAGTGTGAATTAAGTAAGTTTCCAAATGAATTTTCCCTCCATCCCTATAATTTTAAAGGGAAGGAAGGTGGTGAGCTCTTGGGTACCCACTTGACGTAGAAAGTTGCCAAGTCTGCTTATTGCTTCTTTTGTTTCATGCTCACACTTTTCTTCAGTCCATCAGCATACTTCCCCAAACCCATAAAAAGATTTCCTCTTGAACACAGATAACTCAGTTCCTGCTCAGTTTCTTTTCTTAACAACAACAAAAAAAATGAGTCTCTTAATTCTGTCCATGATGAAAACCACAGAAGAGGCGAAAGTACCAGTCAAGAAGTTCAACAATCAATCGCAGCCTGTTATGAACAGGACAAGGGTTGGGTCAATCTCCCATTTTGGGGAGAAATCCAGAGGTCAATGATCAAAGCAACAGAGGAGGAACAACAAAACTGGGTAGCCATCGGACTTTGTCTTTGAGATTTTCCGCAGCGAATCTCCGATGCCTCCAAGCTTCTTGACTCAATAGCCATCGAGGCAGGGACCAGTCTGGCTGGTATAAGGAAAATGTGATTACTGAGTTGGGCAGTGTCATAACCAAGGAAACCAAACAAACAGTGAACATTTTAATTGTCTGTGTCTCAGGCTCAGCAGCCTTGTCTGTTGCTTCAGGGGAAATTTCAGCCAAACAGCAGCAACTGTTGAACTTTGTGTTGGCTGTGGAAAAAAAGAAGTAGGAGGAACCAGACAAGGCTGTGTCTCTCTACTGGGACTAAGGTATTCAGTGCCAAGTTTCAAGAGAAAACTCAGGAGATGCTGCAGCAGCTACCAGGAAAGGGGGATACAGCTGCTGGGCTAAGCAAGGCTCATGCAGCCTTCTTAACACATGTGCCTCAGCTAACAAGCATGGCAGTCATGGACTGCTTGAATGCAGATGAGCAGTGGAAGGAACCAGCTGGGGAACCCCCAGGGGAAGAAGGCTCAGAGCCATGGGAGTGGTGGTGGGATGAAGATGAGTGATCATAGGGAGAAGAGGGAGCAGACTGGCAGGAGGTAGTGTCGGAAGCTGAAGAGGTAACAGGGTTTAGTGAGCAGGAAGAGGCTGTGGCAGAGAGCAGTCCAGACTCAGAGGCAGGAGAGGAGGCTGGAGAGGAGAGGAGCCATGAGGCAGGTTGCTGAAGAATCCAGGGAGTCTCCCCCTCCTGCTGCAACTAGCTCCCCTACCCTCTGGTCACCTAGAACACAGTGAGAAATGAAAAGGGAAAAGGAAAGATTGGTTGCACTCAGATGCAGTCTATGACTGCTTGGGGGGGGAACCCCTGGGACTTGGGCAACTGTGGGAAGGCAAGGACCTTCAGTCCTTGCAACTGCCTCATTGGGACAAAACCTACAAGCAAATGTTTATGGGATCCCTAGGCCTGTGTTGTTTTGGTTCCTTTGAATAAAGAGTTGACTTCACAGACACCTGACTCTGCACATGACTCTGGCTGCTGACAGTGGCTTTCCTAGGTCACCAGTCAACACAGCTCAGTAGCAAAGCATCTGCTGAGCATGCAAAACATCCCAGTTCCAACCCCCAGCTTCTCTTGGTAGGGCTGGGAGTGTGCTTGGTCTGAAACCATGTAGAGCCACGGCCTGCCAGTGTGGCCAATACTGAGCTAGAAGCACAAATCAATAGACGTCCGCTTCCTTATTTTCCTAACTAGCTGATCCGGAAGGGTAATCATGTCGTTTTATTCCAAATATTACATGGCGCAAGAATGGGGGAACTCGGGAGGAAGGGAAGATATATACCTCCATGGAGACTATTCTGCCAGCCACCACCATTGCCACCCCTGGCAGTTTACACAGTGACTAATAGTAGTAAGGATGCAGAAGTATGTATTCTGCAGTAAGTCCAGCATAGTCCCAATGAAGAAGTAGTCATGGATGGAACTTACCCATGTGAAAGGGCTATAGCTCCGTGGTAGAGCACCTGCTTTTCAGGGTCAAGGTCCCAAGTTCAGTCCCTGCCATCTTCAGCTAAAGCAGGAATGGCCAAACTTGGCCCTCCAGCTGTTTTGGGACTACAATTCCCATAATCCCTGACCACTGGTCCTGTTAGCTAGGGATGATGGGAGTTGTAGTCC